AAATCAAAGACTAACAATTTGTTTCTCAGAATATTTATTCGAAGAAAGAAGATTGACTGCCTCCATATGACCAAAATCGATGTCGTGACCCAGTAGAAATATAAATAGCAATTTACAAACATATTTTTTCTTTTGATATCCATCAAGGGTTTTGTCTCCTTTAAATTTACTACGTATGTTCGCAAGCTCTTTATTTATCCGCTTCACTTCGGCTTCTTTGCTTTTACCTAAAAATGGTTAAACGCTTTAGTTTGTGGTCTTAAAATTTTTAATATAAATTGTTTAATATTTATTATTAAAATAAATAAAAGAACCTAAAGAAAACTTTAATAACTTATACTCAGTTATTATTTTGGATTACGTACTTAAAACAAAACAGAATCAGTTTTAATAGAACTATAATAATGGTAGATAAGTGGATTGGCTACTACAGTAAATTATAATTATATATTGATTTAACAGGATTTCGAGTAGAGATGTTATTCCTGATGTTTTTAGTATTAGCGGTTTTTAGACCTAGTGGTTTTAGTAATGGTACTTGTTAGTACTTATCAGCAAAATACTTCATAACAAAAAGTCGAAAGGTTTGCCTGTTATGACCGTAGAGACAACAGTGAGTTTGTATTTAAATGTGAGACATTTTTTCTCATCCATTGTTGGCCATCGCATGCTTTGTATAATAGGATGGTATCTTAATAACGCATGTACTCCATTTTTATTATTACTAAAATGTTTCGCGGTAAGGATTTCCATTTCTCTTCAGGTCAACGGTAAGCGACTATCAATCCTTAGAGTCAACCAAACTATCACTGACGATGCAGATCAAGTGAACTTGATCATTTTATTTATTCACGGGTTGGTTAATTTAAAAATTGTTCCTCATCAGAGAACAGAGAGAGAGAGAGAGAGAATAACCTCTATATCATGTTAAGTTTTTCTTTTTGAGTATTGGTGAAACCATATAGAATTTGAAAAATTTCTTTTAGAGGTTGTTTTAGTGTATGGTTGTTTTTGATATGTATTTTATAGGTGCGTGAATTCTGTTCAATTGAAACAACAACTTCCGAATCAGTTCTTCCCCAGATGAAACTTTTTCGAGTCATATATTTGATGTAATTTCGTTATAATATGCTTTATAAATTAATTCCGATAAATCGATCAATTATAAGAGACATATGTTGATATAAATCGTTTTTAAAGTTTTTTTTTTATCGTTTTTAACTAAGGCATATTTTCAAAACCGGTCTCTTATATGGAAACCATTATATGACAATAATCAGTACGTCACTCAGCATACATACAAGGAAGTTTTTGACAGGATTTTTGCAACATTACCACCCTTTGATCCTTTGCAAATACATATGTGGCTCTTAACGTATTCTTAATTCAAAATTTATTTTATTTATTGAAATGAAGATTACAGAATCTCCTGATATATCTATGATTTATTGATATGAATCACTCTTCATATATGCATATCAATAATATAAACATATATAATCTCATTCAAGCGTACATTTCGAAATTGGCATATATTGCATATATCACATCTAAATTCTATAATGTATGTATATTAACCTGAATAATGAAAAAGCTAAAAAGTAACAAAATCAAAATATTTCAATTGTAGAATTTTTGATAAGAGGTATTCATTAGCATGTAGTAAAACTTAACATATGTATGTGCCAATTAATAAAGAAACAACCTGTAGAGAGAGTATCAACTAGTAACATTAGTAAGATCGTGAATAGAGAAAATTAAGTAATAATTGAATTTGAATAAAATGTTTATGACATTTAATATAAATTAAAAACAACACAAACATTTTTATTTGAACAATTTTATTTAATTAAATCAAGAAGTTGAAGAAATGCCGTAAGTATCGGTTCAAATAATTGCGCATTTTAGTACTGAATAAGTTGTTCTAACGATTCTATAAATTTGCGTCGATTAATATTCATTTGGACTAATAACTAAATCCCAAATCCGACACATTCACTAATTCATTCTTACTCCTAAATAACCCTCTTCCTTTGCACAGCTAAACTCATGTATTCGGTTTTGTAATTCCCTTCATATTAACTTATAAAGCAGTGAGTAAATGAACCCTTTTGTAAGATTTGAAGATCAACCTGGTCCAAACTGTGCCCGAAACGTACCATTCAGTTCCTTCAACTAAAGCGTAACAAGCTCAGTACTACGGTATTGGTGCTGACAGGTCACTGCATACCAGGAAGATATGCTATTAGACTGGCTCTACTCTATAATGATTTTTATCGTAGTCTACACCTAATGGGTTAGTGTCCATCATTGGCTAGAAAAAGATTTAAAATCTTCGAGGTCTCAACCTTATGTGTCAGTGCCCATCATTGGCTAGAAAAAGATTTTAAATCTTCAAGGTCTGGATCTCAACTGTAAGTGTGCATCATTGGCTAGAAGATTTAAAATCTTCGATCCTGCTCTCATCCTGCAAATTTAGGGATTTGACCAAGTTTAAAAACTTGTCGTCGTTGATTTCTAGTCTAGGTGCGAAAAAGAATAAACCGTGGTTTCACAACGGGTCAGTGTTTGAGTTCAACTGATCTTTGGATACAAGTCTGACTCTACAACCTAACCTAACCTATCTGTTTTATAGATTCTTGCGGGCCACAACAATAACTAAATACTAATAGTGACCGCATTTCAATTAACACAGTTTCTTACGGGGCATGGCTGCTTCCGTGAATACTTATACCGGTTTAGGCTAGCAAGTAACCCGTACTACCAGTTTTGTCCAGATAAAATTGAGAGTCCTGACCACATTATTAGAGACTGTATAAGATTCGTAGATACTAGACAAAATCTAGAGACACTAATTGGTGAATCCAGCCCTTCTACTATGGTAATGCAGATGTTGGCAAGCATCGAAAAATGGAGCTTTTACAAGAACATAATCTCTAGAACAATAAATACTGTTAGAGCGGACGAAATACTTAGTACACAATCGGAGTGAAAGCACGCTAAGTGCTCTTATAACCTGCCCTGTGAAGGAATACCTTAACTGGTCGTACTGCAGGGATTTTCAGGATTTTGAGCTGAGAATGAGGGGACTTTTTAGTCCGTAGGCATGTGTGACTTAATTTGAGTCGTGCATGAATCGGGCATGCAAATGGTACGGGCCATCTTTTAAAGATTTTTCCCCTAGGTCCGATACCAAAACAAAAAAAAAAAAAATAGTGACCGCATAAACAAAATGAAAAGTATTTGTTTTCCATCTAACATCTTTTTTTTTCTATATAAAAGATTAACTATAAAGGCGTCTGAATAATTTTATGATAATGTAATTATAGTCTATAATAAAAAGCACCTATAAAATTATGTTCAATTAAATTTGTGTGCAAGTAAATGTGTTTAAGAATGAAATTGATTGCAGAATAAAATTATTGCTTATCATTAAACTTTAAAAATAGTATAGACGGCGCTTACTTGTACCAGTCTCAGTAGGTTAGGCGCTAGTAAATATATACATACATACACATTCATACATTAATATATTTAAAGATATCTGAATGAAGTCAATTTTTTGCTTACGATTTCACACCATGTATTGAGTAGAAGCTTTCGATAGTAATATAAATCAACAATTTAGATAACTGAATATGCGATCGTCGATCGTCAATCGTCGATCGTCATCATCATCAGCATCAACGGAACAAGCAAGAAAGTTTACAATAAAAAATTAAACAACTACATCAATTCAGCTTTTATACAAACAAAGAACAAGAAATGTTGCATAAAAAATAAATAAAATTAAAAAAAGTTGTTGACATTTGACGCCCCTGCACTCGTAGACGCCGCAATCATGATTGGGATTTCGCTTTTAATTACAAAACAAAAGTATATATTGGATGAGTTTGATTTGGTTTGTATGTATGGATGTAGCCGACGTTTGGTGAAGATCCAATAAACCAATTTATTTCAAATATTTAATCTTATTTTATTTATAAGATAAGAAAATTAAGCAGACAAAAAATATATTAATCTAAGAATAGAGAATAATATAGAACAGACATATATAAGATAATATATATACATTATATATATATATAAAAAAATTTCATAAATAAACAAAGACAAATAAAGAAAGTAATTGAATCAATACTGCAATTTGCAGATTAATATTTAACAGAAATTCCAGTCTCGCATCTCAAACGTTTGAAGTATTTTTAAATCATTAGTTGAGGTATAAAATAGATTAAAAATTGAAGTTCAAATTCAGAGTTTAATCATAATAAATGGGACAGAACCAAATACAATTACTGGCAAGATTGAAAACATCACAAAACCAATGAAAAGAAAAGAAAACAGTGACAGCATAACTACATTTTACTATAAACATATATAATTTTAGAATGAGAAAACCCGATTATCAGTCCCGTGTTTATAGTTTCATTTTCTACCCATTATTCATAAAATATATAGATTTTAGGTAACATGATTAATAATAAATAATAACATTAACATTTTAGTAAGAAGCAGCAACACCAATGATGGGGCTAGAACCTTTCTGTAGATTAGAACACAGTACCCTCCTTTATCTCATAAAAATGAATGAGAACTACAACAAAAAGCATTACTGAGATAATTTACCACGATTAACACAATCCAAATCACTTATTGGTACCTTTAGCAATCGGAGATATCAGAATTGTATGGACTGTGTCAAAAGAAAAACTTAGAATCAGCAGAGAAATCTTAACAGAGCATTGTAAATTAAAATACCACTTTACGAGACTGGGCATATATATGGATGCAAACTGTAGATTCTACGAAGAGTATGTAGAATCAGCCATACATATGCTATATCAAAAAACACTTCATTCCACTAAAAGCAATCAATAGAGTGCTGCCTGAATATACATAGTCAAAATACTTTCGCCCTTAACTTATCATATAAGGATAAGCCATAGGGAATCGCCATAGGGCCATAGGGAATATACATAGTCAAAATACTTGCGCCCTTAACTTATCATATAAGGATAAGCCATAGGGAATCGCGTCTTCTCAAAAGAACGCTGTTCGTTTACAAGCAGTTTGAGATTTTTACTTTTAAGTTTATTCTGCAGATTTGACGTACGAACAGTGTCTGGACCTTGATATAACAAAAAAGACCACTACTACAATCTAGCCTAACTTAAGGGCGACCATTCTCCCATTCTCTTTTTACTATGAATATTATTGAATCACATATTACGAAGGGCCACTATACATTTATGCCGCCTAACTACATTAGCATTTAATAACAGCTTTTAATAATTATAGACAAAAAATAATTATTATAATAAAGCAAATACTGATCATTTACTTTCTGACCATTTTTAAATTTGGTCATGAATATTGGCATAAACGTTTTGCACTACTTTTACTTTTACATTGCCAAGCAACCATGTCTAAAACAAAAACTTTCTAATTGTAAAATATATAAATAGAAATAGTTGTACATAATTAAATATAAAAGAAATCTAAAAAAAATTACAAGTACAAAGTGAATTCGTATTTATCGAACATTCAACACCCTTTACACAGATAATTATGCTAAATATTAATCCATTAATTTAATGATATATTTTTTAAGATGTTAAAGTCAGCTACTTTTCTTATTTATTGATTTGACCTGTCCGGATTCCAAAAAATCCCCATGCACAAGTAAATTTTATTAACTTACTTTAAAAACTGGAGACTCAGCTTCGATATTCTGACAATCAAAAAGAGACTTATACCGCTCTTCATTATATTCATTAATCCTCAAATACGATATCTGTTAGACCACATTATTAACACTTTGTGAACATAAACTACTATAAATTTACAATATATTGACAAGAGAATCTAATATTATAAGCAGTTTTTTTTGAAATTTTGAACCGTATATCAGTCTGACTTATTTTCCAGAACAAGATAAATATATACAAGAACAAAAAAATTGTTATTGATGTCTATAACTGGGCTATAACTGCAAAAATGTTAAGCATTTAGCTGATCTGTTTCAGAGTTACCAAAAGTAAACTAATCTTTCCCTGAATTTTGCGAAACTTTATCTGGATAAGAAGAAGACGTCGCGTTATTTTAAAAACGATGGTTAGTATAGCACGCCCATTTCTGGCAACTTTAAAGTCAATGTAGATATTTGTATCAATATTGGCATTTCACAAACCTACTTGGAGAATATCATTCATTTAGTTTACTTATTACAGATTGTAAAATGAAATTGAATGAAAAGCAAAACATTGAGTACTTCTTCACTATGCACAATAGATAATCTAAAGAAATTGCTGACAATTTGCTTGAGTTATAAAAGAAATCTCAACAATAGAGCAAAAGTACTATAAATACTCCCATATTTGATTAGTTTTACACCATACCGAAATATGGACAAGACAAACTATAACTATAACTGATAAACTATTACTATTACTAGCGAGTTTTTTTGAGCTTGAGAAGATCTTTGAACCTGATTTCCACCATGCATAACTTCTACAAGGTTACAACAACAACGTATATTATTAAAATTCTAAAAACATTGAGACTATAAGATTATTTTCTAGGTTCTAGAAACGGACAAGTCTACATCTTCCTATTTTGACACAAACAAATCCCACTCACTACTATTTATAGGAACATAAAAAGCAAATATATTATTAAAATTAAAAAACAATGAGACTATAAGACTATTTGTAAGGTTTTAGGAGCGAAAGGGTCTACGTCCCTATCTTTTCACACGAACAAATATTACTTGTTTCTCTTAACAGCAGCTCTTTTAGCTTTACAACAATACAATTAATGATAGAGGTTAACTTCAAACTTGTGTAACCTTCACCAAAGAGAAATTTAGGACCTATTAAGAATATATCTGCAATCCTTTAATAAGCCACAGTGAGATTTTCTGTAATTATAATCAAATCTTCTTTAGTCCGTTTATTTTAAGTAATATAATTTTATTTCTAGAAAGTAACAATTAATTTATAAAAATACTGAAGAGAATCTAAAGAAGGCTAGTTACTGAATATTTATAACGATCTAAATTGAACGCAATAAATGCTTAAGTAATTAATTTAGTAATATATCTTATATAGATGATTTTAATAACTAAAATATATAAGATTTTATAATATCTAGAATATTTTATATATATATATTGTAAATTTTTTAATATGACTTACAGTTTCTTATATCCGATATAAAGACTGCCAGGCCTCTCATACCATCCCCCCGCACAGGTGCCATTGTAGTTAATTTATTAATTTTCGTTGATTTTTTATATACCTGGGATCAGAAGAAAACTTTATGCGCTGGCTTTTCTCTATACCGCCAACGCTGTTTTACGGTGCTTAGTAACTAGTATTGGTCCGTCAGTTGTTGTACTTCCTCCAATCGCAATGGTTGCTGTTATCGATATTTGTAACGAAGCTTTCGATCAAAAAAGATTTTTAATTGTATTCGATGATTGATAAGTGCTTCTTTCGGATCGTTAATTTAGATTTGATCGAACTCAATTGAACCTGTTAAATTGAAAATTCGAAATCAATCAATAATAATTGAAGTCATATTTAAATTTATTTAATATTAAGGTTTTTAAAAACAACAACACAAGTTTCAAAATAGATTTGAGTTTCAAAATTAAAATTTAGTTTTATTCGACTTTTAAAATAAATTTGATTTGAAACTGTAAGTATTAATGTTAATGCGATATTTATAAAATTATTTAAATATTTTTAATATATTGTACTTTCAAAAATATATTCATATATTTTTTGTTGTTTTATTTATGTTGTTGCATAAAAATCACAAACACAGTCCGAAATATTATTAAGATATTCCAGAATATGATAAGAAAACAATTTAAATACTACAGACTTATTAAAATATTTAAAAACTATAACAATATTTAACCTCAGCGGAAACATAGTACTCGTATATTTTATTCTCATATGACAGTTATGTGCTTATCAGCAACAAAACTTCGCTTTTTTATGCGGACAATAAAAATTATTAAGAAATCATAAAAAGAATCATTCGAAAATGGAGCTAAGTGGCATTATGTGTATTGAAAGCAAGTATCTCTATTAAAATAAATTAGAGAAAGCAGAATAATAAAAGTGCTTGCATTCCCGCATTTGCACGTAAAAGGAAATTATGAGTCTTGTGTTTATGTCATCATCCAATAAAAGAGACACCCACTTCCCAAACACTTCAGTGATTGTTACTGAATAATAACAAATGCCTCAATGTCGTCCCTGATATATTATCGCTTTTCTTTTCTTATTTCTTATTTATTGAAGCTCACTATCTTCCGCATTGGAGCAATGAAGTAATTGCTTCTTTTTAATCTGAACGGATGATGACTCTACGTGAATGCACAACCTAAGAGTAATTGCAAATTATAGGGGCGTCTAAATAAGGGCACTTTCGCAAATTGCCTAAACCTCTAACTGTTTAGAATAAATCTCAAAAACACAATTATTTTTTTCGTTGTTGTAAGTCAATGAACTATACTTATCATTCTGAAGACTAACAAATGAAACAATCAATGAATAACACAAGTTGAAAACCTATGAATGAAGAAGTTTACAGGGTGAAATTGATAAGAAGAAGCACAAAATACACTCGAGTATTTTATTATTTTATTTTGTAGTGGATAATATTAATTTCAAATAAAAGCAAAAATGAAATAATGGAACTATATTTGAAACTTAAAAGATTAATACCGATATTATTCAGATTGCACAATAAAAAATACTATAGACTTCTATGCACATAGATGGTATATAAAATAGATGAAAATTTAAAAGAGTAATACCGATATTATTCAGATTATACAATAAAAAATCCTATAGACTTCTATGAACTAAATGGTATATAACATAGACAAAAATTTAAGAATAATACCGATATTATTCAGATTGTACAATAGAAAATACTATAGACTTCTATGAACTAAATGGTATATAACATAGATGGAAATTTAAAAGTAATACCGATATTATTCAGATTACACAATAAAATATACAATAGACTTCTAAGGACATAGATGGTATATATTTTAAAAAAATTAATTAAATAGCATTGTAAATTAATGAAGTTAATACCAGTTAGCACCTTTAGTCCTTCCTCTAGTTATGCCCCATTTAATCAACTCTGGAAAAACATAGTAATTTACATTGTAAATCCCTTTATAATTTTCATCAAAACACAAAGTGTGCAATAATACAGATATCTTAAGATAATGTACCATGTAGTGATGACTATAGAGATCTTTGAAGCGAAACTAAAAGGATTCAGAAAAAGGGTACGATTGCTATACAAGTAGCAAAAAGATATTCAAAACGGCATAACAACAACGTCAATAGCCTACTACAGAATCAAAGTAGAAAGTCGACAATAATGAAGAAAATTCTAGAGATGACAAAGGTTCAATAACGAACTATAATGTTATGTTAGTAATGATGAACATGGATTAGATTATTTAAAATCAGATAAATTTAAAAACATTGAGTTAAATCGGAAGTAAAACAAATTTTATAAACCTAACAAGATCTTAAGCTAAGATATTGAAAAGGTTTACAATGTAATCAGAATACAATATTAGATTTTTTCCAGGAATAACACAATAGATCTCACTAGTCATGGTTTACCAGCATCCCTTTAAATTATAATAACATTTACTTAACATATTTATAACTAAATTATAAAATAATTAGATTCAAAATATAAAGTAATAATGTTGAAGTTCCTAAAGTGATGTTCAGTGTTTTCTTAATTATTTATTCTATAAGTTTAAAACTTGAACGATATGGTATTTAAATTATTAATTTTTTTAATTAAATTATTAATTGCTCTTAATTAAAATAATTAAATTATTTATAAAAATGTAAGTAAGAAAAACTTATCAAATAAATCACTAGAACCAGTAGAACTGCTTGAAGCTCCAACAATTACTAAGAGACTAGTACATAAAAATTTACACTCTCTTTTACTAGACGGTGGGGTCGAAAGGGGATGAAGAATCTCATATTTGGGAGTTTTTGTAGACTTGCTATTGTAAATTAAAAGTTATATTAGATTGAACTAATAAACCAGCCGACGGGATACGCCGACGGTATCGTGGTTTAAAGGATCCTTGGAAAACTTGATAGACAATTAGGAGCTAGCATGCAATTAATAGATTTTAAGCTATATTTTAAATGATGGAATTATTAGTTTTAAGTATCATATTTGTATAGAAATTATAACTTTTAAATATATTAATATAAAATTTAAAATTTTTAAATGTATTTTGTAAATAAAATTACAACAAATTGAAATTTTGTATTTAATAGACAATTTCTAAATGAAAAATAAATATAGTGAAAAAAAAGCGGAAGGACTCATAAAAATAAATATTCTAAGAATTACAATATTTGTCCAGATCTTTAATTAATTTATTGTAAAAAAGACTATATAAAGAGTATTAGTTATGATATGCTATAGTTTGATATAGGTTCCACCAAAAATAACACTAAGCCTCAAGGCACGCATGCGGTGAAAAAGGCATGTAACTCGACTCAGCGGTGCCGATACTTCGTATGCACCATGGATTACGATTTAATGTATTATTTTACAATCGTAAACGTGATATATAGTTGATATATTTTTGAGCGCTTCCGAGTACTACGAACAAAGTATTGTATATTGGTGAATTCTTAATATTCCAATTGTGACATGTTTATTCAAAAACTTTACAACAGGCTTAAGGCATTTTTACAATTTTTACAATTTTCATAAATTTGAATTAATCCTAACATTAATCTCTAAAATTATTATTTTATTATTGTGATATTTTAATATACCCATACTTCATACTTCATATACCCATTAATATGCAAATATATTAAATCATCAAAGTTCAGGTCATAATATGACTCTGGCAGCAGTAATGCAGATCGCTTGGTTCATTCTAAGAACAACATAAATATAATTCCAGATACCACCAACTATTGGATGAGTTGAAGTTATCTGTTTAATATTAGAACGGCCGGAACCACTCGTCAAATTCGACGACCAAGATTAGTATATTTTACTATTATGTTATTACACAAAACTCAATAGATTTAAAGTTTAATAAAGTTTATTAAGTGCTCTTAGGAAGAGGTCTTGGGTTATCGTACAAAATTCAATAGATTTTAAACTTTTGGATGTTGCTCTTTAAAGAGAGTTATTGAGTTTAATGCCTGATTGTCTTATTATACAAAACTCTCTTGATTTAAACCTTTTTGGAAACCTTAATAACACTAAACACTCCTCTTTGAGGAGAGGTCTGGGATTTAAAGTCATATTTTGTTATCGTACAAACCTTCATAGATTTAAGACTTTTAGAAATTCTTTACTATGAAAAGGTCTTGCGTTTAGTATCCAGCTTAAAAATCGTTTGAAAAAATTTTTATAAAGCCTAAAATGCTCTTTAAAGTGTGATCTTGTAGCTGATAAAGATTCTCGAGAAAGTGTGTTATTACTAGGTTTAATTTACGTATAAATGTGCTAATTGGAGTTGATTTGCAATTGATATAAACTTATAAACTTGAATTTTATTTTTTTCTTATCAGAATTCTATCATATTTAAAGGAAAGAGGAAATTAAAGTCTGTAAAGTAGATTCTATACTACTCTTTATCGAAGCAACACGGCTTGGAGATATATTCTAAGCACAGAAGGGCGCACAACAGACCCAACGGTCGCAGCGCCTTATCCCATAGCAATAATAATAATAATAATTATTATATTTAAATGTTAGTATATTAATTAAAGCAATTAACTTAAATAATTAAATAAATTTACATCAACATAATGTATTGTATATTGTATCTTTCTCAAAACTACCCATGAGTTTATGGAACTAATTGGGGCCTACAATATTTTATACTTTATTTTATTTTTTATTTTGAAACTAATATTGTAGACCAAAACATATAAATAATAATAAATATTACAAAATATATATAAACAATAGAATACACTTAATCTGAAGTTAAAGCTAATGTGCCATTTTATGAAATGTTTTTGTGTGAAATGTTGGCTAAGAGTTGCGACCGAGGTAGAATATTTGGAATTTGGGGGCGTGACATTTAAAAATTTCATGAGAATTAATTTGATAAAAACTGTGTTCTCTGAAAATATTTATTCTGAGTTTTGAGACTAATGTTATCAGTGTACGAGAGTTCAATCCGAGACTTATTTATTTTCACAAATCGCGTAAGAATCTGAGTGTGAGCGCAAAACATATATACATATAACATATATATATATAAAATTTTAACAGTCACTTCACTTTTATTTGCTTATTATTAAAATATTATATCAAACTAATTTAAATTAGTTCTTTCGAATTATTTTCGAATTATTGTCGAATTATTGGAATAGATAATTTTTTCATAGCATACGATTGCGAAAGGTCGAGAAACGAATAAGTATCCACACAACAATTTCTTCTGGAGTACATCTGTACGTACAAAATAATGTTATTATGTTATTATTTTGAACAGAAATTAACAAATTGTCACTACGCCCATTTTTAATGGAAAATATATTATAATTAGCACATAAGTTACTGAAATGAAAATTATGTGTCGCTGGCCTGTACTTATGCTCTTGCACGGCAACATTTATCCGTTTTTAATGCAACATGTAAAATTGCTGCTCAATGCAATCAACACATTTTTTTATAGCACAATATTTTTAGATTTAAGTAATTATTCATTTATCCCGAACAAAGATATTTGCGGTTTTAAAACTCTCAAGCATATTGAAACAATATATGGACCCGGTGTTTTGATGTTTTATTATCGAACTACATTTTTCGTTTGTACATTTTTGCTTCCTCTTTCTTGTCACGTCGAAATCTACGTCACTTTTCCTCAAAAGTATGCAGCGGTAAACGATGACGAGACCAAATCATTGAAATGTTTTATGATTTTTTACAAGTTATGTGAAAGATTAATTTACAATTTCTGCATTTATTTATTATAATTTTGCTTAAAACCACTGTTTTTAAATTGTCTTCAAACTCACTTCAAGTGTAGAAATTTATTTTAGTAGTTTATTAATTAACTTCACAAGTTTGCAATTTTCCCCGATATGACAGCGTTATACTAAGTTAATACCCCCCTCTCAATTAATTGCAATACAACGACAGTCACTACGACGGCTTTTCGAAAATTTGATTTCACTCATCTTTCCGTACACCGTAGCTTAAATGGGCGTTGCAATATTTTATGATTCTTATATTGTTATATTAATTTACCACTTCTCAGCTATATTTTTGAGCCACTTGTTATTTCAAAGCAGGCTTTATTAAGAATTTCTAGCATAAAAATTTAAGGCAGCACCAGCGATAATGAAAATTTTTATTGATTTTTTATGTTTGACTTTTTATGCACTGTTCGCTTTAAGGTATGTTCAAACAAAACGAATTCAACAACAGAGTTGTATTTTAGACTAAAACACGTATGAGAGCACTTCATAGAGAAATTTTTCGATATTCTTTAAATATGAAGGCTTCCTATAATATTGTTTCCATTGCCTTCATTAGACCAGTTTATTTGCTTTATTTGCTTAAGGTCGCTAATAAATATAAAATATATAAATAAAAATATCGTCAGACCAGTTTATTTCCTTGAGGTCACTAAATAACAAAAAAATATAGAATATAATGAATTTGCGTTATGAATTTATGTATAAGCCTTTTCTGTGGCTCGCAAGTGTGGCAAAAAATGCATGCTGGCCTATTTCGCTACGCGACCATTGGCATCACTCTAGCAATCTGTCAAGTATTATTGTTTGGCAAATAGTAAAAGTTGCATAATGCAAGGAAATTACATTTTGTATAAAAAAAAATAATTAATATAAAATTGAAAATTGAAATGAATACAGAATTAAACGGAATGGTAAAAATGTTGAAAATTTCAAAACAAAACACTGAAATTTTTTTCCAATTTTCAAATTTATAAATTTTTTGAATTTCTGCTTACATATGATTTTTGACATATGATTCCAATATTCGTTGGAATTTTCAATGAAGGTTCATAATAGTTCGCTTACAGCGTTGGTAACACTTTTTTCTTTAGTGGTCGAAGTATTTGGCCTCTTCACAAGTAGGCGTTTAGATAAAGAAAGTAGTGTTGTTGTTTTGCAAACATTTTAGCTTAACTAAACGCTGTTAAAAGCACCTGTCTTATATCAATTTTAATGTCTACCTTTCCCTTTAATAATGAAATGGTGTTTCGACAAATGACCTTTTGCTATTAACAAAAATTTATCAATTTTACATTCGTGAGAGGTAGTTTTAATAGGTTCAAGTTTGATATTGCAACTCTCAAAGATTTCTACTTTAAATCTGACGTATTTCGATCAACCAAAATCACCATTTTAATTAACAAAACGTCAAATTTCGTTATTTCGTTTATATACTGCAAATTCAAAACAAATTGTTTTATTTTTAAAATAATATAATATGCCGTTGAAAAAGTGAAAAATGAATAACAACGAAGCAGTATTAATTTGTGAATTGATTTTTAACATCCAGTTTGACGAAAAAAACTAAAATTAATGTCAACTATTATTTTCAATAAAGAGGTATTTTTGAACAGTAGTATATAACAACTATAAAATTTTATCATTTATTAATTAATTGAAGCTCTGGCCAAATACCCATCATCAGTGGTGTTGGTATTATTTTTTATATTTAATTATTCATAAATAATTATTTTAATGTGTATTTCTGAAATTTGAAATGAATTAAAGGCCAATGGATTGTATGAAACCCTGCTACGAAAACTTGAAATTAATATGAAAATAATTTGTACGACGCAAAACATAAATAAAAATAGCAAATGTTAAACACAACTTATGATTTAATTAATGTCTATTTAATATATTCATTAGGTACGTACGTTTACTGTTCAGTGCTTGCCAAATTCAAATAGAATTCTGAGTTTTAATGGCAATAAATGTTAAACGTCAACTGCATGGAATATATTGCCATTCTTAATTCAATGAAATTTATAAAAATAAATTTTTACTATAGACTAACAGATAATTCTTCGTTTCAATATAATAAAAAAAAACATATCAATTCGATACGTCCATTGTATCGGTTTTGAATACAGTTCCGAATAAATATATTCTATATACAATATTTACATTGCTTTGAAGTTTATTAAAATAATTTTCTTTGTTCTTCTTCAATAATGTTTATAATATTCGTAATAAAACAAAACTAAATTCTTTAAAAATAAACTAATTTTATTTTATCTATTATCTTAGTTCAATATCAAAATTTTATTGCTTTTTACAACTTTAACAATTTAATATTGTTGAATTGTAATTAATTCATTAATCAGAAACATATCAAAAACGAGTAATGTGTGAAAAATGTATGAATTCATATAATAAATGTTTTCGGCAGCTGTTAAGTGTGGCAAAAAACAGCAAGTTGCTTATTATAGGCATTAAGATATTGGCATCACTGTTGCAATCTGTCAAATGTTATGTTTTCGCAAATGGCAAATCTTGCATATGTGTATATAATGCAAGCCAATCAGATCTTATATAAAAATATATAATAAAGCTAAAGTTAAAAATTAAATTGAATAATGAACTAAAAGCAAATTTTGAAATTTCCTTTTACAACAAAATTAAAACTAGTTTAGAATATTTATGTCTTAATAAGTATTAACTTGTTAAGAACTTATAAGTTAAAAAATTTAAAGAGCTTTTCAATTATACTTTCCTCATGTACTTATAAAATTTGTTGTTTATATTTATGTGTGTATTTTCAATATATTTATTACCCATAATTTTGTATATTTTTAAAACATTTGATTTGCTGAATTTTCAAATTTGTAAAACTTTTTGATTTTGCTTGAATGTAAGTTATGGGAAATACAACCCTGTGTCTTCACGTGTACTTCAGAGGTCGCTGTTCAACTGTGCGAAAGAGACTTTTGACAATCAAATGGTGGACGCCATATTAGAAAGAAAATTAGAATTTTATGGATGTTTAACTTTATTAGAACTGCATTAATTCAAAATACAAGAATTTATGTAAAAGAAATAACTGAAAAATAATTGGCTTATAAGAGGGAATCTTTTACAAACAGTAAACATGAGTTTCTCTAGCGATGAAGTGAATTTTTTAGTTTACAGATACTTGCAAGAGTCAGGTGTGTCTCAGAATAAAATAATTTATATTTTAAGTGAACAGTTGCATAAATCAAAATACGAAATGTTTTCAAATTGTAGGTTTCTTGCACTCTGCGTTTGTTTTTGGGATAGAATCACATATTTCACAGAGTAATATCAATGGCGCACTTGTGCCACCGGCAGCTTTACTAACAATTTTACAGAAGGGACTTATGTATACAGAGGTGGAGTGGAGTGTGGGAGAAGATGGTGAGGTCGGTCGTCCAATAGAAGGGCTCAGTCTTATAGATGCTGTTATGCCTGAAATTAAACCAGTAAAAACAAAACCAGATGCTGGAAAAACAAGTTCCGATAGTGCCAGTTCAGCGGGCAGTGCGAAATCAGATGTAAAAGCTGAAAGTAGTGGTTCTTCAGCTGGAGGTTCAGCAACTACAGCAGATTCAAATGTTGCAGATACAACTGCAAGTAGTGGAAATAACTTAAATGGTGGTCCTACAGCTGGAGGAAATTCTTCAGCAAGCCAAAATAGTGGCAATGAAAATGCAGCATCAAAGAAAAATACTTCCGATGGTACTTCAAACAGTGGAAATTCAGAAAATATTGCTTCTACAACAACAAATGCCGCCAATGAAACTGGGCATCATTCAAGTGAAGTAGCACCTGCTACAGGTTCAAACACAGGTACTGGAGTCTCATCTGGTACTATGCCAGGAAATTCATCATCAGCGTCATCTACAAGTAATACACAGCATGTTGGTTCCTCTGCGCCTAACGCTGTCGTCGCTCAAGCAGTTAATGTTCCCGGTAGTACTGTTGAACCAATGGAGATCGATCAGACTATTGAAATTCCGGCATCGAAAGCAACTGTACTGCGCGGACATGAAAGTGAAGTATTCATATGTGCTTGGAATCCAAGTCGAGACTTACTTGCAAGTGGTTCCGGTGATAGCACAGCGCGTATATGGGATATGTCTGACGCTATGGCCTCGCCAAATCAATTAGTCTTGCGTCATTGCATACAGAAAGGCGGTGCGGAAGTACCGAGCAACAAAGACGTTACTTCTTTGGATTGGAACGTAATATATATAATATAATTTTTGTTTTTAATAGATTCATCAGTTTTGTTATAGTGCGATGGTACATTACTTGCTACTGGAAGTTATGATGGTTATGCTCGCATTTGGAAAACTGATGGACGCTTAGCTTCAACTCTTGGACAACATAAAGGGCCAATATTTGCTCTAAAATGGAATAAACGTGGTAATTATATACTTTCCGCTGGTGTAGATAAAACAACGATTATTTGGGATGCATCTACCGGTCAATGCACACAACAGTTTTCATTCCACAATGCACCAGCGCTTGATGTTGATTGGCAAACAAATGTTTCATTTGCCTCATGCAGTACAGATCAACGTATACACGTTTGTAAGCTGGGTGTAGATAAACCTATTAAAACCTTCCAAGGACACACTAATGAGGTAAATGCTATTAAATGGTGTCCGCAAGGTCAGCTGTTAGCTTCTTGTTCCGATGATATGACACTAAAGATTTGGTGTATGAAACGAGATCATTGCTGTCATGACTTGCAAGCACATTCCAAGGAGATTTACACAATTAAATGGTCACCCACAGGACCGGGCACACATAATCCAAACACTAATCTTATTCTTGCTTCTGCTTCATTTGATTCTACTGTACGTTTATGGGACGTAGAACGTGGGTCTTGCATACATACTTTGACAAAACATACTGAGCCAGTGTATTCAGTAGCTTTTAGTCCTGATGGCAAATATTTAGCATCAGGTAGTTTCGATAAGTGCGTACACATTTGGAGCACACAATCTGGACATCTTGTGCATAGCTATAAGGGCACAGGGGGAATTTTCGAAGTTTGTTGGAACTCTAAAGGCACAAAAGTTGGTGCAAGTGCATCTGACGGCAGTGTATTCGTTTTAGATTTAAGAAAATTTTGATCTAAGTCTCATTCTCGTAGATCTTACATGCATTAACGATAATCATTTTAATTTTATTTGACATTTAAACATATTGATCTTTTAATATAACATAAGAAGTACTGATTGCGGTCATGTACACAAAATAAAATATTTTTACATGATATTTTCTAACAAAATGACAAAAATGCGGGAGCAGATTTCCTAGTGACAAAAAAGTCATATCAAACTGGTTCATTTTCAATATTAACCGAAAGTATTTTATAAAATATATTCCTCAAACAAAAACATCAATCAAAAGACTCGAAATGATTTATCAATAATTAAATGGATAAATACTTTTATACGCTTTACGTATATCAAGATCTTATCTTCATATTTTTTAGTAAAAGTGTTATCCATCTGTCACCCACTGTTTTTTCCGCAAAAGGCGTTTTAACTAATAAAGCGTTTTTGTGCGTATTTGTCGAAAAAATCTGTGGGTAATGATCGAAAGTTTTGTAAAATAAGAATTTTGACGTAGTAAAACATTAGAAACTCATTAAGCAAAAAAAAAAAAATTAGACATCAAATTAAAAAATTTGTAATAAACCAAAATTTGGTATATTAATCAAGTTTTATAAATGAATCTTTTTCGAGATATTGCTGTCTTTTTGACTGAAGTTTGTTTTCGGATGAATATTCTTTATCATGCTGTATCTCGAATAATATTGAAAAGTGACCACTCATTATGTACGACTTCTTTAGTTTCTTTGACTAAGCAATCATCCGCATTTATGCTATTTAAAATAGTTTGGAAATATCCTGTATTAAAACCCATTTACACATGCTTGACAAGCACGATTTTTAGATTTGCAAACGCAGAAACATTTTGTAAAATAACACATTTACTTGATGATCAATCATATAATGATTAAATTAAAATAACTATTTGCTGTATAAATAATTTACCCAGATGCAAATCAATCTGAGGTATCAATAATTTTTGTCATATATTACAATCTAATATAATTAAAAAAGAAAAACTATAGCAAGTAGATTTTAATTACCAGAAATATAATATTAATGTTGTAATATATATATGTATGAATATATATTAGTGCGATATACGCGCATAAATGTTTGGTATTGTAACTGCATTTGTAGTGTATCTTAGACTTTAAACTCTTTAAAGTTTTAACAATTTTTTAAAAGTAAGATAATCTTAATGTTAAACTATTTAACACGAACGTTTTTGATGTAATTTAATAAATATAGCATTTCAGAGAATATCTGAATGCAACTGGAACGCAGCGCAATAGTTTTATTGTTCAGTGTTTGACTTGAAATCACTCAAACTACCACGAAGGAAAGAGTTCAAAAGATCCCAGCCTTCAGATTGTAGAAGACTTCCGATAAAATCAGATTCCAGTAAACAGAGGGTAAAATATAAAAAGCTTAGTAGTTGGATTTCCAAATTCATTAGTAATTTTAGTCCTGTATCAAGACCTGCAGTCGCTAATTGAACTCAAACACTAAAGTTTTAAAAAACTGTAACTCTGACACCATCATAGGCCCATAACCAACTATTTATGTAGCTACAATCTCATGCCTTCAATATATTAACCACATATTATTCACTACTGAAACTTACATTCAAGGTTTAACACCACAAATAAACACAGCGAACAAACGGATCAGCCGCTGCTCCACGCAGAAGAACAGTAATCACCGTAACACCGTATCCGGGTATCAATAGCGGTTAACCACTGCGAAACTCAGAAACACCTGAGTTTAGTCAAGCAATACTGGTAAGAGGAAGCAATATGCCCACTAGTTTGCTTCTTCAATAAGGCAGAACCTGTCGTGGTTGTGGCTCTGAGGGAGAGGAGAAAACTGTGTTTCAACTCATGTGCCAGTGTCCTTCTTTAGCTATGAGAAGATCAAAGGTCTTGGGGGCCCCTTTTTCTTACCGATCTGTTTGAGCTGTCATCTTGCAATATTAGAGACTTAGCCAAATTCATAGAACTATCAGTTTGGTTTACCTTTACCTAATGTGGGATAAAGGTCGTTGCGTTCGTCGTATACTGACCTTTTAGTCTATGTAACGCTATTCCTGTGGTGCCACAATGTGCCATTATTTGAGCTCAAGTGGGGTTTCTTGAATAAAAGTTGCCAATCTAATCAACCTACCTAACCACTGGGAATACCATTAGTATAAGCCTAACAAAGGACATGAACCTACCAACTGTAAACGTGTTAGCATAACACAATTCTTAAAAATAATTTCTGACATAGTTAAAGATAGATTAAATTTGGTTTTTAATGTCAATTATCATGGAAGAAACCACAGGTCTCTCTTTTAATAATTAATATTAATAAAACAATGCCATTGGGGTACAGCATGACGGCAGTCTATGTCCATAAGTGGATAACCTCACTTCATCTTAATAGATGGAGAGAGTTGAGCACTTGTAGACAGACCAAACTCATGTTACCAAAACCGTGTGCCAGAGAAGCGATAAAGGTGCTTAGCTATTCGCGGAGCACCCTAAGCTGGCTGACCTCACTAATTATTGCACATGGCAACTTCAAATATCACCTCAAAAAGATAACTCTTGCTGAGGAAGACACTTGCAGACTATGTCTAGAAGAAAAGGAGACAGCGGTGCATATATTGTGCCAATGTCCAGCACTGGCAAGTAGGAGGAAGACTGTCTTGGGACACCATTGGGTTGGTGACGACTTGGCAGGAAACCTCAAGCTAAATGAACTGCTTGCATTAACAAAAGATGTAGTTATGTGAACGGAAGCCACTCCAGCTTTAACTCAATAACAACATCCGAGAATCGAAGGACGAAAAAGGACCCAAGTCGTTTCGTGGTCTACTTCGACTAATCCTTCACTTCAGTGGGGCCACTTGTTGGATATATAGAATATTAATAAAAATTAATATTAAAAGTATTTTGAACAGCAGTGAATTGCGACAAAAAAAAATTTTTATTATTAAATGAATTTTTGGCTGACCATACAGCTGTTTATGGTATTTGGCAACACCCGAATTATACTCGATATAATTAATAAATAAATAATAACAAAAAAGTTTTTGTTGTTGTAATTCACTACTGTTCAAAACACGTTCTAGTTAAAAATATATTTCTATCTATATTTGTGTCTAATATGAAACCTTCATTAAGGCCTACCAATATCAACAGATATTAGAAAATTACTGACCGGTCCTGTCAATCGGAGTTTCCACAAAAATAGAAGACAAAGACAATTGATTGACAATTTGGAAAATGTTAAAAGGAATCTCTTTTTGCTTCGACATAAAACACTGCCTTTTAATATAAATTACATACCATATGTAGGCAGTGCTCCAGAAGCTATATGGATAATTTTTGGTGCAATTAGCATTGCTTTTTTTCACCCCGGGTGATATGAACGAAGTTTCCTATGCGATTTTATGCCAATGAGAAGCGAAATACACACACAAACACCTTATTTTGTTTATCTTTATTGGAGATATTCTATTAGTCATCACAACAAAAGAAATAAAAGCTTATTGTGGGCTCTAATATTATTATTATGTATATATAAATAAAAACTTATAAAATAATTGTAAAAACATTGTTAACTATATATAGGCTTTCGATCCTAGAGTTTTTGTTATTATTTATAATCAGCGTTCGATTCCTTGCTTACAAAAAAACTGGGTAATAGCAATAATTACAATTAGCAATAAAAGTAAACTATATTTAAATATTTGTAAAGATTCTTATAGATTTAGCTCATGCATGAATCACACTACACATTTAGAACTCCAAGACATTGTCCAGAAAACGTTCTTTGTAGAAACGACATGGCTCACGCTTGATTTCGCCTGTTTTTGTTGTGCCCTTGAAGAATTTAGTAAGTTTGGCACCACTATATTTGGGTTTCTCGCTCTCTGGCTCATCGAATTCGATATTGTAAGCCTTATCTGCTAAAGCGTTTTCGGCAGTTGACCAACTAAATCTCACTAAACGCGGAAAACCAAATACCGGATCAGTGTTCTCCGCTAAAAAACGTTTTGTTACTGGATCTCCCGGATAACCGCTGCCAAACTTATTGTCAGGTATTTTGATACCTTCAGGAAATTTCCACACCTTTAGAGCGTGATCGCGTGTTACTTTTGCACAAATACTAGCCGCTGAGACGATTGGATAAGTTGAATCTGCTTTTTTTGCAACTGTTATTTTAAATTGCGGGAAAATGCCCTTAAGTTTGTCTTGGTATTTCTCTGGTGGTCCCACAGTATCAACATAAACTTCAGCTATATTAACGCCTGCATCTATAGCGCGTTGTATAAGCCCAATTGCAGAATTCATTGAAACCTCATTAAGCGAACATTTTGAACGGCGATTCATAGAAGTACTTATTATATTTGGTGATATTATTTCAACGGACCAGCCAATGCAGGTTCGTGCATATTCCTCAGTATTTAGTTGAGTGAATATTTCTTCACGTTTCTCTTCAGTAAGTTGCTTAGAATCGGCACAACCCAAGTCCACTAAAACTTGAGCTTTACTAAGCGGACAATAGGCGATGCCATACACCATCGGCCCCAAAACAGGTCCTCTTCCGGCTTCATCAACACCTAGTAAACATGGTTCATTTGCACAAATTTGAGGTACATCCGATTCATATACATTATTCTGAGAGTTATCTTTTGATGCAATAAAAGATCCTAATGTTTCCAAGGATATTATTTTAGTTGCAGGAGCAGAAAAATCACTTTGCTCATTTGGACTTGATATCTTCAAATCTGCATCTTCTTCCATTTTAGTTGCAGATGTAGAAAACTCATTTTGTTCATTTTTAATTAATTCCTCCGGATCTGTTTCGTTTAAAGCATCTTGTTCCATTTTAATTGCAGGAGCAGAAAAATCATTTTGTTCATTTTTAATTGATTCCTTCGATTCTGTCTTGTTTAGATTTTCTTGTTTTATTATATTATTTTCCATCTCAAATAAACGTTTTCAACTGTTTTGATCTCACATGCAAAAATATTTAGCATTCGCATTTTTTTCCCGCCTTTTTGTTTTACTTATTTTGTTATTTGTTGTGATCGTTTTCTAAAACGTTCGCTAGGGTTACCAACTCTAGTGAAATGGAAAAAACATAATCAAATTTATTTTTTCTACATAAATAATTATCATTCCATATATTCAAAATGTATTTGTTTATAGCTATTTATGTATTGATATATTGTAAAATATAAAGTAATGCATTTATCAAAATAAGTTAACAAATTGTCCATTTTTAATTAATTTCTACAAATGGGAACGTTAAAGTTTGCTTTAAGCGTATTCAGACGTGATAAAGTCATTTTATCATTAGCCATAATTATTTGTTTCAGAGTTGTAAAAAAACAAAACATTAAATCTGGTTGAAACAAATTGGTACCACTTTTAAAATAGACCTATCATATTGATTTTGTTGTGTTATGTACAATATAAAATATAAATATTCTAAACACTAAAGATAATTTAATTTAAAGATAATTAATTAATATACTTTCTGTATACTTATTTTTTTATATTTTTTGCTTATAATTTAACGATTGTGTTTTATATTTATTCAGGTATTGCACTTTTTAATGAACACAAAATTAAAAATTCCTTAATAAATAATTAAGGAATGACTTCTTCACAATTACTAATCTCTCAGTCATCTTCACGAATTTTATTAAAGAAATTAATAATTTTATAATATTTAAATTTATTTATTAACACTCGCAACAGTTATAAATAATAAACAACTGACTGGAATTTTCCGCTTTCTTCCAGAAATCATTCACAATAGAACAGTTTTAAGATTTGGCATCATTGTAATTTGAGTGGTTTGGCTTATTCGTTAAACAGTTTCAGGAAAGTGGGCTTGTTTTTGACTTTTGTTTTTGCTTTGCATTTTAATATTTAAGCGACACGTGTTCTATTGAAGCATTCATATCAAAAGAATACGCCTAATATACATTAAAATCGTTTATTTTAAAAATGTTTTTATAGGAGTTTAGTTTTGGTTTAATATTTGGTTGTAATTTATTTTTTTATTAAAAAAACTCGTGTTTAATTATAGAATAAAACTTTATTATAGAATAAATAATGAATTAACTATTTGTGTTAATTGTATTTCTTTATATAGCACTTAATATCATAATTTTTTGAATTCTCTTGAGATCGCAGACATAACCTAACCTAATATCATCATTAAAAAAGCATTTTACTTACAAAATTGAATTCGTTGGTAAATAGTATTGTAGTTTCTTTTAAGTAGTAGAACAACTTCCAAAGGACGGACAGACCTTCGGTAACAATATGTGAAATTGTTATTACCGTCTGTCCATACTCTTATACTCCATATGCGCATACAATTTAATAAATACTGCAAATAATAACAAAATATCACAAATTTTTTATTAATGATAACTGATAAACAGTTTAAAACTTACAAAAGGTTTACACTATCGCAATTAACTCTGTTTAAAATAAAATTGATGTTTGTTTAGTCATTAGTTGTATTTTCCCTAAAAATATGTTTAAGAAAGTCCAGTCAAAATAACACAATTACAGAAAAATTGTTTTATTTATAGAATATAGCCATAGAACTTTCACATAAGTTAATGATGTGACAATATACAATTAAATGATAGCTAATTACATTTCACAAAATTCACAAAAAAGAATTTCACAAAAAAGATAATTATTAAATATATTAAATGAAAAATAAATATAACATAGCTGCTAAAAGTGCATTTCATTTTAATTCTTGTTCATATTTTAATAATTTAACAGATTCAAGTATTAATAAGCGTCTTATATAGCTTTATATTCCAAATGCCGTTGGAATAATACGTTGCCCTGAGGTAAAAGTCGAACAAACTTCGAAACGTCGTCGATATTTATATAGAGTACTATATAATAAATAATAACTAATTTACGATATTTTATTTTTTATTACATTAATCTTAAAAAAAAAAACAGAAACATTTAATAATTTTATTTTATTATTCATGGCTAATTGAATTGTTAAAGTATAAACACAAAATTTCCCTTAATTTGTGACCCTATCGCTAAATGAAATTCGTTAATAAAAAAGTTTGAACATAGATTAAAATATATTTTTAAACAATAAATTAAATTATTAACTATAATTCATTTTTTATACATTTTTAATAATAATTAATAAAATGTATATGAGAAATACAATTGATTTAGCGGAACTTTCAAAGTTTCAAATGAAGAGGTCGCTTTTCGATAATTTACGATAATTAGTAAATTTTGCACAAGACAATCGCATATAACTTCATGTGTTAATTTTGACAGCCGTTTCGTCTTCTTTCTTTCCGGTACGGGACGTTGTCAAGTGTGCTTGTTCTCTTAATCGAGCTAAGGCCGAATATATATTATAAATAATAATTTCTGGCGACTTGCACCATTAATTAATAAAACATTTTGGAAATATGTCTAACAAAGCCGAATTATCTTGTGTTTATGCTGCACTCATCTTGGTTGACGATGAAGTAGCCATCACTGTAAGTAAACAAAGAATGAAATCAAAATTCTTGGAGAATTCCATTAAAATCTCTTGCATCTTGCATTGATTCTGGCGGATTTCTTCCACTTGTTGTTATCATAATTTGTTATATTGATTTAAAAATAATATTTTGCAGGGTGAAAAAATCCAAACCATTTTGAAAGCTGCTAATGTCGAAGTGGAACCCTACTGGCCCGGTCTCTTCGCCAAGGCTTTGGAAGGTGTCAACATCAAGGACTTGATCACCAACATCGGCTCTGGCGTTGGTGCTGCTGCTCCCGCTGGCGGTGCTGCCCCTGCAAGTGACGCTGCTCCAGCTGCTGAAGCCAAAAAGGAAGAGAAGAAGAAGGAGGAAGAACCTGAGGAATCCGATGACGACATGGGCTTCGGTCTCTTTGATTAAACTGTTGTTGCTGCATTTGCAAATTGTATTTTGTAAAAATGTGTGCCTACGGCGTATTTCTGTTTGTACACGTTTTATTGTACAAATTTTAAATTAAAGCAACAATTTTTTACATAAACGTAAATAAAAGTGTTCTAATTTGAATTTGCAGTTTAGAAATGAACTAAAAGCCAGTCAATGTTGTTCCAACAATAAAACATTGATGGATTTAAAACTGCCTCCGGAGGATCATATAATGCAATGCAGTAATTTTTATGAATGCTGAGATCAAATTTGTTTATATTTTTCCATGAAGTGTTAATTTTGCTTTCCGACTAAAAAAAGGCTTAAAGTTAGTGGAATGTTTGCAGTGGTGGAATGCAAAAATTTTTTCTGCTTAGAATGCTGTTAATATATAAATAAGATATTAAATTGGATTTTGTCATAAGACTGTTTAATAATAGGTCTTGTAAAGGTGATTAATTATTTCTGTTAAATCATAATTTGTTGTTTGGAGAAAATGTAGATTTGATTTCTTATTTCGCGTCCAACAGCGCTGGTTTGATTACTTTTCTATTTGTTAAAAAAATAAATAAAATTGTGAAAAATTGGAAATCAGAGAAGTATAAAAATTTCTACTTAGAACGCTGTTAGTTTTGAATCATGGTATGGATGAAGGCATAAAGTTCGATATTGAAATGGAACTACATCATAATATGTGTATCATAGTGATTAATTCTATTTAGTTTAGATTTTATGTTTGCAGAATTTTTAGGTTCGATTTTTTATAGCTTCATCTGTTACAGTTTGGTTGGAAATTCCACTACATCCGATTAGAAAATAATTGCAAACAAAATAAGCTACTACTGTCCCATACAAATGTTGATACTTTAAATTTCAAATGTGGACGTAAAGTGTATAATTCAAATTAATTTATTGGCAAGTGCATTAGTTTTAAGGTAGAGTTCATATTAACATACTTCCGTTAAAGTACACACTATTATTACTTTCATATCAGAAATATTTATTTATTTAGGACAAGTGTTCAGTATTTCACATTAGAATATTTCACCATATGCGTTAAACCCTTAGGAAAAGCCAATAACAATAAAAAAATGTTTGCCTAATACCTCATGAAAACAAAACCAGCTGATAGTGATGCCAATCATTAATTATTTTCCAACTTGACATATAAAGGTAGCGACACAATGCGCTCTACCAACTAATCTTAAAACAATGACATATGAGTTGTCAACCAAAAAAGAAATGCCAATTTTATCAAATTTAATATACAAATAAACATTTTTATTGGTTCTGAGTGTTAAATTTAAATAATTGAAAAAAAGTTATATACGCAATGTAGTGAAGCCGTCATAAAATCGCCATTTAAATAAAAAGGAATATTTTATGAAGCTTTCATATTTTTTTAAATTAATTTTACTATTTTTTAAAATAGTTACTTATTATAAATTAGTATATTGTATGTGCGGGTTTGGAATTTGTTAAACACAAGTGTCAAGCCAATATTTAGCAATTGTCAACATAATGCTTATATATATTTTTTTTCATGTAAGAATTAAGCTACTGTTCCTGGATGCATTTAGTTGCACGAAAATAGACTTATATGGCGTTTACATTGGCCGAAAATGGCTCATTTTGAATGAGCCATTTGAAAGTGTTTACATTAGTTCTATTTCATTTGTTCTCATTTCAACAGTTGATTTTTCAACTTGCATATTGATTTGATTTTTGACCTGTGCCAAAAAAATGTTGCATGAAGGTTAAACATGCCTTCAAACCTTACATTAGAAACTTAAAACATATTTTTAACTTCGATTAATTACTTTTTGGGAAGTAAAAGTTCTAAAAAGCAGTGCATCGTTTTCAAGAAAATGCAACCACCAAACATTTGTTTATCTTTTTTTGTAAATATGTTAAAAACAGCTTTTTCAAACTGTCAAAATGCCATGAAAAGCTTTCATTTAGGGTATGTTCAATGGATTCCTTTGCATTTGGAACGTATGTGGAATGCATTCGAACGTCATTCATACAGAATGTGAGAAAATTGCTCATTTTGTGCTTGAAATTTTATATGCAAGAATGAGCCATTCGATACTCATTTTCGATTTTTGACCAAAATGAGCCATTTTCGGCCAATGTAAACGCCGTATTATGTGAAGGTAGTTGTTAGTGTCAATAATGTGGAATCTAAATGACACCTAATAATAACTATGGGCCTTTTTCAAAAATTAAGGTGCTATGTTTAATAAAGCGATTCATAACATATCTGCGAAAGTTTAAACATGTATCAGCAAAAATATACATTACTTTTTCATTTGAATCAGATGTTCATATAGAATTAGATTATAATATTAACTTGATTTTGTAACAATGTTAGTCGAACACGCCATATAAACAAAATTAAAATTACTTGTATGAATAGGTTATGAAGGTTGTTGTCAGCTGATAGATGGTACACAAAATTTAATATCATACTATTTACGTAAAAGTGATATTTTTTAGTTATATATTATATTAAACTGTTTTTAGTAAACTGAAAGTGTTTTTAAGTATAATTCTTTAAATTGTGTTTATGAGATATTAAAATTAATTTTTAGTAACTTAAAACAACTTCTAAAATCTATGTAAAAGGGATATTTACAGGACAATTCTAACAAAGATCGTTAAAAGTCATACGTAAGATCTTTCTAAGATCGAACGTAAAACCGTTTTTATAAGATTTTAGCTATTCTGGCACAAAAGAATTTCAAAAAAAGATTTAACGTTTGTAATTCCTGATAGAAAGATGTTTTGTTTTCTTTTTAGTGAGCACAGCTGCTAATTGCTACCATATGCAAGTTATGAATTGAATTTTAATACAAATGTGGTAGAAAGCCGTAAGATATATATTTAATTATTATTACTATTTATACATAAATAATTTTTACTGAATTTAGCTCAAGTCATGAAAGAAATGATAGCAGCTATTGCTGCATTAACAACAGTAGTAACAATTAATTAGTTTTAAAATTATATCTTAAATATATATAAATAAATAAATAAAACAATGTGAAATAAATATTAAAATGTAACTATTTAAAAAAATATATATATTATATAAATACACATAGCTTGCATCGTATTGAAAATTACGTTAGAAATAATTGTTCAATTTTTACAAATTTCAATTAATTAATTCATCATTCATTTCCATTCTAATTTGTATGTATTTTATTTTATGTAACAAAAATTTTATGCACGAAAACCACAAAGAAAATTTTAGCTGACAATCCAAAGATCTGATCAATAGCAAATTTTTCTTTTGGTTTTTAGAAAGACCGAGAACAGCTTTAAGTCTTGCAAAATACGAAAAATCTTTCAAACGATTTTTCGCAAGATTTTTGAGTGTATGGTGAGCTGAAAATTGTTGCCAGAATTGCCCTGTTTATAGAGCAATTCTTGTACTGTTTATACTAGAGTAATACTATATATATTTTATACATTTACATCTACAATTTTTTTTGTTCTTTCACAAATGCTTAAATATTTTGCTTTCAAGTCGCGTTAATAAAAATATTTTTGTTTCCAATATGTAATTTTATCCAACACGATTTACTGTTAGTGATTTTTATGGGATATATTACAGTTAATGTATTAAAATTTATGACTGATAATATTAAATATATATTTTATACATTTCTATTTCAAATTTTTATTGTAGTTCCATATATGTTATACAAATTTGTTTTTTTATTTTTTTTCAACATAAATATTTTTGTTTTCAATACGTAATCTTATCCAACACGATTTACTGCTAGTGATTTTTGAGGGATATATTACAGTTAATGTATTAAAATTTATGACTGATAATATTAAATATATATTTTATGCATTTGTGTTCAAAATTTTTATTGTAGTTTAATATATGATTTAATAATTTATTTTTCAACTCTTTTTCAACATAAATACATTTGTTTTCAATATGTAATTTTATCCAACACGATTTACTGCCAGTGACTATCTTGTTGCACTCAAATTTCACCTCATTATTGTCAAAATATTCGCCTCTGGTCGCACTTCAGCGCATGAATGAAATGGGAAGAAATGTTACTAAATCACTTGTTCAGTTCTCTTTAGTCTGTTTCTAATTCGCTTCGGCTATGGTTGGTGTGCGATACTTGCTAAAATTGTTTGAATAGTTTGAAAGCATAAACGTTTAGTTTTTAATCGAAAATATTCAAAAATCGGCAGGAACCTTAATGAAGTATTGAAAGCAAATGTAATTTAAAATATGTGCAATTGATTTAATTTGTTTTGAGCAAAAGTCGCCAGTCAGGCATCAGCACTTAGTGTAAAGTGGAAAAGCATAAAAATTAAGTGGTTGCCAGCAACAAATAAGCAAAAATTCCTGTGCAGGCATCCACTCACATTGAGATAGTCGAGGTTCGCGATTTGTTTGTGCTTGTGTTTGTGTCTTGTTTATTTTAATTTATTATTAACAAATAATTATAACATAATAAAAATAGAAAATAGAAAAAGTCACCTACTGCAAGAAAAATAAAAAACGTAGAAAGTCAAGGCAATTTGAATAGCTTAATAATAATTTGTGTTTGTCAAAAAATTTGTGTTTGTTACGGCTAAAATGCCTGTGTCTAGTTAAAAAAAAAAAAAAAATTAAAGAATTCGGTTTGGTTTCATAAGTAAAATGCAGCGAAATACGTAAAATAATAAAATTTGTGATAATAGTTGTTAAAATCCATAGATTAATAATTGATTTATTAATCAAAGGGAAATAAAAGTATTTTGTGTTAAATGTAATATACGATTTTTAAATATATTTATTATCTAAACTTTTGTTCCTTTAAGTATAAAGAAAGTATAAACTTAAGTCACACAGTATAGAAACAAAAAAATATTAATTAAACCACGACATTTAGCTGCCGGTTATTTAATAAAAGTAAACAAATTTGAGATTTTATCCCGGGCAACGTTATTAATATATTTGCAAAATTCAGTTCGTTTTCATATATAATTCCTCAATACATCCGAACGCCACGGATCCAAATCGAACTTCCGTCCCGACCGCTCCGATCCCTCCACCACCGGACACTGAATTTTTAGCGTCGGGCGGCGACAGTGACAGTGATACAATAATCGTTGCCACAACATTACCAAACAGAAGAGACTATCTACTCACCCATAGAGCATCCTCTAACAACAACAAAACGAAAGCCCAACTAAACGACATGGCTGTGGTACGTAAAAAACAGGATGACAATAACCTAAAAGCTCTTAGAGAGTTGGTTACAACAGGTGCTGGTAACAGGCAATGCTTTGATTGTGATCAGAAAGGTCCTACATATGTCAACATGACCATAGGATCATTCGTGTGTACCCGTTGCTCTGGAGTGCTGTAAGTACATAACTTAAATTTATTCATTTTTTATAGATAAACTAAATTTTGCTTTAAAAATAATATATATATATAAATATATATATATATACATATGTATATATGCATCACTGAGAATTTTATATATCTATGACATGTAGTATAATCTAAACTTGACCTAATTTCAAATATAAATTTAAATTTGTTTAATTATAATGTTCGCCTAATTAATAAAATAATTAGCAATAATTTAATGAATCATTAAATTATTTTTAATTTAACAATTAACAAAATATGTATTAGTTGTGTATTATCAACATACAAATAGACAATTATACTCGGATTTTTTTTTTTTAACCAATTAAGGAATAGTCATAAATTTACTATAACTTAAAATATAATAACTTAACATGCGGCCCTATGCTCTTCCTAGGAGTTAAAGGATCCAATACATATATATATAATATATTTTAAAGTATGGCCCAATATAAGATATCCCTTAGTTTAAACAGTTTTATTGATGTACCCCTTGAAATATTATATGTGACTAGAGTACTATTGTAAAATAGTAAAATATAAAATATATGTATATGTCTTATATTTAGCAGTTGGCATTATCTCCTTGTCTTCTTGTCAGAATATGTCTGATAGTATATAATGAGGTTCAATTGAATTGTGCTATCATTTATAGTTGGTTAAAACTACATAATAATTCTTGAAAGGATTATTTATTTATTTGTGAATTAACATTAAAATGAATTTTAAAGTTAACTAAGAAAAGGAAACTGGACTGTTAGGTCCTACACCCTGCGCTTATATTCATGTTAAGCATTATATCTAAATTTTTTTAAAAATATCTCTGGGTAAGTGTAGCTTTATTATATTGTAATCGATAGATAGGTTGTTGTAGCAGTTTATGAGATGAGACATCGTTAGAATATATCCACATTTGGGGTATGTTGTTTATACATCCCTTTGATTAAGGATTAAATATAATAATTGTAGTTAATATAAAAAATATTTATTTTCAGTTTTATAGTTCATAATATATAGTAACGTATTTATAAATATAATAGATATTCTAATAATCACATTTAATAAATATTTATCAATTTCTTTCGATAATTGCATAAGTGAGTTTTAACTTATTTCGAACTTTTGCTATATATAAAACTTGAGTCTTTATTCGAATATTATGCATATATATAATATTCAATTTTTTTTCCACGTTATCCAGATCCGAAACTAGATTTAACAAAAAAATCTATAGCTCATACAAAGCCATTTTGTTCAAATTGGTTTTTCATAAATGTTTATATATATATATATTGCCAAAAGGTAACACTGTGATTATAAGTAGCTTGTTTGTGAAAAATCCTTACAAAGCATTTCAAAAGATTTTCTTTTCTTTGTAGTAGAATACATCTAAGGTTGTGAAAATAATATTGACCAATTTTACATACCGAACATCTCAATTGGCGAGAAAAATTATTGAATGGTTGCTTATTCAGTTTCGAACACATCGGATTTGTTCGCACCACAGGAATTTTTTTTTTGTTTTCTTAATAAATAAGAATTTTTCATATTTTAAATGTATTTTAAAATATTTAAAATAAACAGCAATGCATATACCTGCATAGTTGCAAATTGCCGCTCGACTATAGATAGAATTGCATACCTACTTTTTTTGTGACGATAAAGGATGATTTCACTGCGAAACTATCCTCAGTTACAGGGGAAATGCTCCATAATTGTATCGTTACCAAGAAGAGAAATGAAATAATTTGGTTGTATTTTTTGACTGAGACGTGAGGCGTGAGGTTTTCGTCATTTGAACTGTCCGCTTCGTACTCAATTATTTTATTTTATTGATTTGATTGATAAGGTTATTAGCCGGTAATGCTTATATTAATTCAATCACTATAGCGCTTTATTTGTCGACATATAAGTGCGCAGTAGTTCATCATTTGAATACAATTTGAATACATTGTCTTAAGCTTAACGCTCATTAATATTAATTATATTATTTTTAAAATAGCTTAAACATATAAAAATTATAGGAAACTATATATGACCTTGAATTAACCATTCGCGTTACATATAAAAAAAAATGCATTTTATTCTAAACTTTAGAATTTATTTTTATTCTATACAAAATTTGTATTCCGTATTAGTAATCAATTTATATAAGCTTTACAAACTATATGTACTATACTATATATGTATGTTTATGTATGGTATATGATGAGCGAGCAATTTCATCCATTAATATTCGAGGCGTTCGATATTAGAAAAGTTAAATAAATTTCCAATATAATATTTATAAAAAATGTTCACACTATTCTGAATAGCTTAATGAAAATTGCAAATATTATTATGTTTGAATATACTAATTAATTATTTAAATAATTAACATAATAAAAGTAAACATAAAAACATTGTTCTCATTTGGTTCGCCTTCACACTTTATGTGTTGATTTCCTTTAAAAAATTGTCGCAGAAATTAAACAAGCACTATTATATTGGTACTATTATATATTGTGTAGAAATGTACAATTCGGTCTTGATATGTTTCCTCTACTTTTTGATAGTGAATATCGCTTACTAAACTTAATTCGCAAAAATATTTACTATTTAATATTGTGCGAATATGCATATGTATCTGCTAGTAGTGATAGAGGTTGCCTATAGTAATGAGAAGGTAGTGTTCGGTTGTGAATCGCTGGTATTGAAAAGTTTTACAGCCTTTCTGGGTATGTATATTGTTAAGATCTCGATACGGAGAGCTCTATGTAAGTCTGTCCACCTGATGTGCGAAAGCAGTTTAACGAAACTTCTGAGAACTAGAAATTTGTATAGTTGATGAACACCTTTGAGTGTAGTTTTAGTATTATATTAGTATTATATTAGTATTATTTAGTATTTGTTGTAGCAGTGCGCAATCTTCACTATTTATTTATAAATACACAGAGCTATTGAATGTTGAGCTCGAGACGATTTATATGTGGACAGAATTAGTTAAATTATATGTAAAGTTTAAGCTTATTTAATACGATGCAGAGTTTTTAAAAGAACTTTTTTTTTTGAGGTCTAAGCTCTAAGAATTTCAGAATGTCCTTCCATTCTTTATGAACATTTAAATATCAGCACATTTAAAATAAAAAGAAAATAACAAAGTTTTATTTTTACCAATGCACGAAAATAAATACATACTACACTATGTATTATAGTGCATTGGTTATGACCGAAACACATCAAATAATTTTTAGTGTTTGTGTTGTCATGACATATACGATACAATAAAATAGCGTATTATTTCCGACTTTTGAAATGAAATTTTTAGTGTTTGCTTTAGTGTCTTTTCACCAACATAGTGAACTTTTTAGTATCTGTGGAGTAAAATATTTAAATGTTTTTTTTTTTTAATTTTTGAATACGAACACCACTATTCTTTTATAACAATCTTTTCGCGAACGTAGTGAACTTTTTAGTATCCGTGAAGTGAAATATCTTAATGTATTTTTAGTTCTTGACATAAACACTATTCTTTTATAACAATCTTTTCGCGAACGTAGTGAACTTTTTAGTATCCGTGAAGTAAAATATCTTAATGTATTTTTAGTTCTCTAACACAAACACAATTCTTTTATTACAATCTTTTCATGAACATAGTGAACTTTTTAGTATCCGAGAAGTAAAATATTTTAATGTATTCTTAATTCGTGAACACAAACATCACTATTTCTTTATAACATTCTTTACACGAACGTAGTGTACTTTTTAAGGTATGTGAAATAAAATATTTTAGTGTATTTTTAATTTTTGAACACAAACACTAAAAATTGTCGAATGTGTTTTAGATTATATTTAGTGTACTGTAGGCGTATCACTAAGTACACTAAGTTTGGTACCAAATTTTCGCTGACGTTTTTTTAAAAAAACTCTAATACTAATATTTATTTTGCACAAAAAAGTAATATAAACCTCCATATAAAGAATGTTCCACAACGTTTGGAAATTATAGAAAATTTTTTTGTATGGAGTTTTTTATGTCAATTTTTAGTGTGAAATGGATGTTAGGCTTTAGAGTAAAAGTTAAAGTAAAAGTTTTTTTTTTTTCGTTTATTGTTTATATAATTTTTAATGGCTGACATCGATATTTACAAAACTCATTCAAATCATCATTGTATTTGTTTCGTGCATTCCCATACATCGGTATTAGATATGAGCTCCGGCAACCATATTTTCGGTATACCACTTAAGGATTTGTTTATGAATATTTTGATGCGAAATTAAATAGAAGTCATGTTTTTCACTTTCCAAGTTTCGCATCCGTAAATATTCTAAACTTAGTACGGGTTCTTATTTGGTTCTTTTTTTTTAGTACACTTAAAAGAAATGTCATCTTCAAGCTACAAGTTGTAAGAAATCAAAATGTTCAGCTAGTATTTATTTATAGTTAATAATTCCCATATTACCAGAAATTATTTACACAAACAATGCTGTAGAGATACGTAATTATCACATATTAACAATACAATTATATTGTTTATATACCTCAATAGATCTATTCAAACTTCAATGCAAGTCTAAAATAATTATTGCTGAAAATTTTTACTTTTTAAAATAAGACGAGTCTCATACATTTATTATGGATTGTGAAGGCCGATACATCAAAAGTGCGTCATGATTTTGCTTTCTTCGGCGTGTGGTTGTAAGAAATGCTAGACCATGGCAGAAAGAAAAAGATTGTTTTAACAATGTATGGGCTCTCAGAAACATGAAATAAACAAATCGAAAAATTATTCATGCAAGCATTTCACTGCTTTTTTAATAGGTTTTTTAAATACATTTTAGCATTTTATTTGTGTGGCTCAAAGTCATGGTCGTGACTACAAAATAAGGCAAGGTATACCATAAAATAGGCTAGTGAAGCAGACACATTCTTTTCTATGCGCCCAAACGATTGCACTTTTAGAAGTGAAATTGCTAATATGTTTTAGTGTTTTAACTTAACAAAT